AAAGAGCTAAAGTAACCCATCGGAATAGAGCTCCTCTGCACGACAGGATCATCGAACTATATTGCATTGTTTTCTGTAAGGATACAGAATCGCCAGCGCCCATTATCATTCGTCTTCGTATGCATCTTCGTTAAACGTCAGTAATTTTTTTGCCAACAAAGAAAATTTGCAGTTGAGAGGGCCTTCTTTGCCATTTTTGTCTGCTTCATTGTCTATGCTTCCTGCTCTCTTTGACCCAAAACTTGCATTGGTTGCCAACTGAAGAACCACTAATTCCCCTTCGTTGGGTGTTTCTGTAAGGATACATTGTCAGCGCTGATTATCATTCGTTTTATATGCATCTTCGCTAAACATCGTAAGTTATTTCTTCACCATTCTGATTTCTCCTGATCTCCTGATAATTTTCGCCTATATACTGCACAACTTAATTTACGATACGTTGGCAATATCGCTGTGATAATTTCTGCGAAGATAGTAGTCGCATAGGTTTGTCCCGCATGCAAGCACTGCCGGCCTTTTGGCCACGGTCAATAAATCTTTCTTGGGGACTGCTAATTCGGAATAGTTGAACAGTCGGTGACCTATGAGCAGATACGTAAAGGCCCAGGAGTCCAATAACCGCTTAGAGAGTTCAACTAGTTTATGCCTAACAACATGCCAATCGAAAGCAGTGCCGCTCTCAGACGACAGATTTGCTTCATCAGGAAGCAGTTGGAAGCTTACGGCTCCTCGAACCGCATCTCCAAGGAGTATCGCGTTAAACAACAAGCACCTAGTCTCTCCCATTTGAACTATGAGAATTCACACCTTAAACTTGTATCCACTAAAACTAATTTCCTGAATACCTGCAACAGGAACGTGAAATTCCAAAATGAATTGACACTCCAAAACTCCAGTTCAGCTTAAGTTCCAACTCTTTCAAGATTACATAGCAAAATATGGAGACTACCGAGATGATTTGGCCACAACGGTTATTAATTTGGAGCTACTCAACACCATTATGAATACTCTCGATGCTGACTATCTCAATCCTTCCAGAAAATAGCGATAGAAGAAGCCTAGAGGCCGTCACACTTCTAGCCAAATCTATGCTGACGTCTCTCTCTTTAATTGTAGACGCTTCCAATCTCACAAAATTGAAACTACCAACTTTCGATGACAACCTGCTTGAATTTCCTGAATTCAGTGCTAGATTTGCAACTCTTTGCCAACAAGATAATTTGATGACACAACAGAATTCTCCCTCTTAAACATGCTTCGTGGCAAAGGTTGGAATCCATCTTAGGATTCTTTATGACTGCCGAGCATTGCGAAATAGCAATGGAGATCTTGAAGACGCTTCATGACAATAGGGTGACTGTGAGACATATCCTTTTCACCAAACTGGCTTGACTCCCCCATGTGATCCCGAAGGACGTCACTTGCCTATCCTATAAAATCAAATGTTCTTTGGTTCGACAGTTTTCCAGCAATCAAGATGGCTTTAATGCGCTTGGAGCTCACTTTGACAAACTTCCTTTTCGAGTGAGAAGTCTAGTGTACGACCGTACTTCACACGATCACAACGTCTCTCATCGGAATTACTGCATCTGCTTGCGGACATTGTGAGGAAAGATTCCAGACTATCTGATATGAAATATAACGGCGCCCGCCCGTTCACACAAGGATCTCCACCCATGGTTCCGGGTTGCTTTGAGTCTCTCGATCAAACCAAACGCGAAAAGAAGAGTAATGCTCCTCACTACGAAACAGCGCATAGAACAAATAAAGCTGTACAAACTGTGCTTCTATG